TAGGGTAGTACCCTACCCCCCACCCCTGAGGGTTTGACCAAAGGGTTTTAGTATTTTGGCACTAACCTTTAGTTATAGTAGTCTATATGGATATTTTTATGTGCTATATCACACATACAGCAGTTATTTAGTAGATACAATACATAGATGTTGAAATAAATAGGTTTTGTTTTGTTTTTATCAAAACCCTTACCCCCGACCAGGGGTGGGGGTTTGGCCAAGGGTAGCCGGAGACCTACCCTTACCCCTACCCCCGCTCTACCCCTGGCCTCTACCCTGGGGGTTTTAAAACCCCTTGACCATCCCTAGTTCGTGCCGACCCAGCGTATCCTCCCCCTGTCGGTTACTTCGATACAGCCCGGCTCATCAACGACAATCCTGACAGTTTTGCCCGTTTTCCTTGGGTGGAACCATCCGGTGTTATCGTCCGACTCGACCCCCCTCTCCGTCACGTCAACTGTCACACGTTTAACTTTGACGGGTGGCTCGAACGTCCTCACATCGACCCCACCATGGAGCTCCTCGGTATTACTCGCGGTGGTCAGTTCAACCAACGTCGGTTCCTCCAGCAGCAAATGAGGAACGAAGCCATGGTAGACTCCGTCCTATTCGGCAACCGACGTCGAGGGTTCAAGTACCCAGAACCACTTCCTCCTCCCTTACCTTACAGCCCCGCCGTTGCCGTCCACCACGAGATGGGTTACCAGTCTCGTTGCTACGGTGGCCCGTCTTATCCCCAATCAGTTGGCCCTATCCGTAACGATCGTGGCGGCTCTTACCGCCCACCTAAGCGCCCGTCTTCGTTCGGCCAACCTCTCGAACCATGGGGACCTCCACCATATCACCAGCCAACTTACGACCACGACATTCCCATGGACGACCCGGACGATGTCGAGATCGACACTGGACGTAATGCCAGTGGTATGGCGGCTGATGACCGTCCATCCACTTCACGTCGTCGACGCTCGCCGTCACCTGTCAGACGTCGATCAAGATCTCGCTCCCGCGGACGTCGAGGTCGACGTCGCTCACCTTCTACTTCATCCGAGCGTTCTCGGTCGAGCGATAGCTCTGATACTGACTCGAGTAGGGGCCGTACCAAGTCTCCACCGCCCCGAGAGCGTTGCCCTACTAAACGAACCACGCCCATTGTAGAAAACCGGACGGCACCAGCTAAGTCAACCACGGCTCCCAGTGGCGCCCCCACTACCACCAATCAGCCTTCCCCACCGATCACTGCCACCCCTGTGGCAGCTCCCACCAGTTCCAATCCACCAGGTCCGGCGCCTATCACCAACACCAATCCCACCACCACTCGAACCGGCACCCCACTACCCACTACACCTCTTGGGAACGACCCCTGGGCTTCGCCTCGCGCCAACACCACATCTATTCCCGGTACACCCTCATCGAAGATCAGCGAGCTAGGTGATGAGGACGCACCTGGGGAACCCGACACCGAGCCCATGAACACCCATTCGGATACCCCTGGCAACGTTGACGTCGAAATGAAAGACCTATCGATTGGAGGAGATAGGAACTCCGGTGAGAGTTCCAACACTACTTCTACTGCTAACTAACCCGTTTCGAGGTCTTCGAACCTCGAGGAGGGCGTATGTAAGGCGCCGCTCGACTTGGCGCCTTCCCAAGTCTCACGTATGCCTTTGTTTGTCTTTACCTTCTGTTTGTTTATCTTTTCCTTTTCTCTGTTTGCCTATGCCTTCTCCTATGCCGAACTTTATATCCTTTCTCCTCATCGTACCTAGGTAGTTCTAGATTACATAAGTAGGTAGTCTAGTATATAAAGGGTTCAACCCCCCGTGTAAGTAGCTAGTCTCTTTCAACACGACGCTTTAACCCACTCAAGCCAACGTGTTTGTCTGAGGCTCTGGTGTGCCGCGACTTATCTCGCGTCACATATTTTTGAGTGTCTAGCGTCGACACTACTCTCTCTCTCTCGCGCTTTCTCTCTCTCTCTCTCTCTCTCGCCTCGTCAAGCTCTGGTGCACCCTGGTCTGATCAACCAGGCCTTCCGACTCGATGCAGGCAACCCACCTCAACCCACCTCTCAACCCAACAACGCCAAACACCGTGCTAATTACTGCGCCACTGCTTCGTTGTCAACTACGACCATGCTTCGTTTGCCGCCTCGCCCCTACAACCTTAGAAGACGTCCCACAACAGGAGTCGTGGACACTGGCCCTGTCCCGACGTCACTCCCAGGTACGTACGACCAGAGTGACAACAGTACTGACAATTTTCTCTCTAGCGCGTCAACTTCGACAGCTAGGGAGGCACCTGCAGGTGACCGACCTGCCTCGGGAACCCTGCGGGGTGACTCAGAGGCTCCCCTCTCGACGAACGAGAGGGAGGCTGGACCCGGTCGCGATCGGGTCGATGGGACTTCGGGTGGAGCTGAGGGCTCCCGTGATTTTTCCGCCGGCATTGTAGATACGGATAGGGGTCTTGATAAGAATGGAAGTATTTTTGGTACCACACGTTCGGATTATGAGGCGAAGACGCCCGTGAGGGGGCGTAGCAGGACTCGAAGGTCCTTGTCAATGGATCAACGCCGAGCTGAGGATATCGCTACGGCAGGATTGGATCGAGTACAGCGTGCGCGCATCGAGCGCCTAAAGGAGCGCCTTTACCGAGTGAGAAGCCGGTCCCCAACCCCGGCCCATCTAATCTCCAAAAGGGTAAAGGGCCCGACCCTCGCAACTGGGGGGATGTCGTTCGAAATGTCTCGGATATATTTGAGTTAGATACACAGGTTCAGGAGGCCTTACTGGCTCAGACCAAAAGGCTGATTGAAATGAATGAAAATTCCAAAGCTACTAATACAGGATCTCAGGATAAGCAAGAGGAGAAATTGAGTAAAGCTAAAATTGAAAAGAAACGTGAGAAATCGAAGGAACGAAAGAGAAAGAAGAAGAAAAATACCGAGTTCGATCGTGGAATCACCCCACTCTCAGACCGCATGGAAGAGATCATTGATCGTACCGTGAGGGGAAAAGGATACCCATTGGATGTCGAACGCGCAGATGACCACACGGACACCGACGACGAGAGGGGGTTGAACCCCGCGGAGGAAATCAATCCCCAAAGCGCCCTGGGCGCTATCTTCCAACGTGCCGCCGAAGTCGAGCGCGGCACTAAGTCCGGTCGTAAGACTTCAAAGAAACGATCTAAGTCGAAGGGAAAGCGTAAGAGATCTAGTAAACGAAGCAAGTCGCGATCTAAAAGGGTTAAGAGTAAGGAGTATAGCCCTGAGGAGGAAGATCACGACTCACCAAGTGATGACGACAGTGAATCATCGTCGTCCAGCGACTCGGAGGGCGACAACACTATCGAGCCTTTGGGTGAGGACGACTCTTCTGACCCAGAGTCCGGTTCCGAACCTTCGGATGGCTCGGATTACTCGTCTGATACGTCATCTGACGACGACGAAGATCGCCGACGTGAGCGAAGACGTCGAAGATATGGTAAGGGAATCGTACCTTTTGACTACGACGGCCAGCAGGACACCGTGGTGTTCACCCAGTTCATGAACCTAAGTGTCAAAGCAATCGAACATCGAGGTATTCCTACAGACGAACAAGTCAGTTGGCTGTCCGGTTACCTTAAGAAGGGGTTATATGATTGGTACTTACAAGAAATCGCCTATAGAGAGGCAAACATGAAGTTGTCTAAGTTCTTTAAGTTGATGTACAATCACATCTTCCCTCCTGCATTCAAGCAACAAACCAGGTTAAAACTCGATAGCTATTATCAAGGAAAGCTCACCGTTCGAGAATACGCCGGTCGCATCCGCAAAATGTGCGATATTGCGGATGTCAAGGACCGACGTGAGCGAGTTCACAACCTTTGGAAGGGAATGAACTCGGAATTAAAGAAGCCCCTGGTGGCTAATAAAATGAGTCCTGATAAATCAGCATGGAAGGACATCGTTAGAGAAGCTGAATATATTGAATTATCACTTACCTTGGAGAACATTGACCGAGGTTCCGGTCGCCGAGATCGAAATAACCGACGTGATCGAGGTGATCGTCGAAATAGGCGCCCGGGAAATGGGTCTCAAAATCGTCGAAGTTCCCGCGAGCGCCGTGACAATCGCAGCTCGCGTTACACCAACAACACCTCCAGATTCAATTCTAACCAGACTAAATTCAGAAACGACGCTGAAAGACGAGACAGAGGCCGAAGACTCACTGACGAGCAAATGGAGAAGTTGAGGAAAGAGAACAAGTGCTTCAGATGCTTCAAGACCGGCCACATGGCTAATTGTTGCCCTGCTCGTAACTCGGTCGCATCCTCGAGCAAGAAAGCACCTGGTATGTTGAATCATAATGCCAAAGTAGAACTGAATAAATCTGGGGAATCCGAAGAAGAGAAGTCAGTTGATGAGTCAATGGTGAGTGCCTTGACTCTTGAACTAGGAAATATCAAACTTACCGACGATCCGATTAGCTGTTCGACGACGAATGAAGGGGAG